ACTGCATGAGAACATAGCAGCTAAATGTAACTATTGACAGCGGTATGGCACGAAGTAGACAGCTAGGTTCACCTTTCTCGCACGGCGTAGGACTTGGCTCAGTCTGTCTGGCATACTGCTGGCTGTCAATAGTCACATTAGCTGCTACTTTCTCGCACAGTGCTGGCTTTATGCAACGATAGCCCTGGCGTTTCAGCGTCCATCTCCCCATTGGTAATAACCCTCACTGACCCAGTGAACAGAGAGCTGTTTTTCAGTCACCCTGGCTATCAGGAATTGTCTAGCCCTGGTGTATGTAATAATCGGATGTCAAGGTGTGCAGTCTGTATCCACACCCAGAACACAAACAATGGACCAGTTCAGTGAACTTTTATGCAGATGGGGGAATCGCACGCAATGATCACCTTGACCACCTGCACTACCTCAAGGAGTAGGTAATATTAAATGGCCATGCTGGGACTAGAAATTCCACATTCAGATATCACCCGGCTGTAGCTCCTCAAGTCATCTTTGAATTCATGCTGACACTTTCCTTCCTTCTGGAGGGTGGCTACTTTTGTTCCCCACGGTCCCTCTTGGTGTTGTAAGTAGCCACCGCTCCAAGGTTGCTCCCTTGATGGACTACAATCTCACGTTTAGTAAATTACAACACACCCAGGAACCAGGTGTTCATCCACGCGGCAATCGCAGAAAAATATGCATGTACTTTTTTTTTTTTTTTGCAATACACGACGCTCGGCTGTTTTAGCCGCGATCGTGTTCAGATGGACGGGCACAGTCATGGCGGGAAACCGCGCAGCGTGACTGGGGTGCCAATAGAAAATGGCACCCACTGCACAATCGTCTGTGACCCCACGGCAATCCGCACGGTATCTAGCATGATTGCCACGCTCACAAATTACACAGGTGGGCACCAGCCATTCTGCTGCACACTGACTTTTGCTGGTGATCCAGCCACACAAAAGTAACAAGGTTGTCTTTGGAGGAATAACAACATCCCGTGGTCGTAAGGCCTGGCAGAACTTACACCATACTTGCAAACATAGGACATAAGCTTGTTTAAGTGTAAAATTGTTAATTTATTTTCATAGTGAACATGCCCTTGCAGTGGCAGGAGACCTATCCAAAAAGTATTGTCAGGGATGGGTGGCCGTGTTAACTGATATGGCAACTTTGCATGGCCACACTGAATGGCGGATAAAAGACTTGGATGTGCAAGGACTGCTGGGCACATGAATGTCCTTGTATGGCTAGGTAGAACATCCCGGCAGACTCTTGGCTCCTCATGTTCTCATTTAATATTGCATGAGTTTCTAGTGTATTGACGCATTTTCCCAAATGTGACACATCTTGTATTAAAATGCATATATTCAGCATTTGTATTCGTATCCATTATTCTGGCAAAATCACTTTTGTCAAAATCCTACTTGCTGGACCTTTGGAAAAAAATGCAATGGTTGAACAGTGCATTTAAAATGGTGCAGTATGTCCATATGCCATCGCACTCCTAACAGGAATCAAAACACAATGGTTCTAGGTGGGCGCAGCAGTGGAAGCAGATGGTGTCGCCAGGCATATCCATAAGAAAAAGTAGAAACCTCTGGCACTTAAATTCCACTTTCGCCAAATCTTTGACATGGCCTCTCAGCAGTCAGCAGAGTTGTCCCGGCGAGGGAGGCCAGCTGAGCAGAGTGGCAATGGCGTGCCCGTGGGGGTGGCGAGAACGACTGAGCAGAGAGGAGGTGCAGGCACATGGGCTGAATCAACTAATTGATAATGAGAACCGTTGTCAACATTTCTCATCGATTAGTTGTTGCAGCCCTAGTGTACTGCCAACCATGGCTATTTTTTTTTTTTTTAAATTGAAGCTGAACTCCAGGCATACCACAAAATTCACATTTTAGAGCTGTATTGCCTGTCGGCATTCACTTCTGTATGTTCAGTTTTACCCCACTCTAGCATATACAGCAAAGCCCTTTGACGGGGATGGGGACCTTATTTCTCTGCTAGTTTTACTTTCACATACAGGTGGTCTCCCTGCCCCCATCTGTGACTGAGCAGTGAAAAGGAGATTCAGCACAACAATGAGCTCATGTCTCTGTCCCTCTGCCTTCCTATACTCTGAGCATGTGCTTTGTGCTGCTTCTGTCTTCCCCTGACTGTGCTCTGCTGTACAGTAGACTGCAAGATGCTGATCCCAAGTCAAATGCGGATACTTGTACTAAAAAATCATGGTCTGTTAATGAATACTGAGCTTAATTAACAAGTGCCTATTCTTCCTGCTTGGAGTACAGCTTTAATCTTGAGAACCATGGGATAGTAGTTTGTAGTAGTAGTAAAGGGGTGTGGAATCCTAAATGACAAAGTGCAATTAGAATGAACTCAGAGTGGCTTTTTAGCCCTTTCTGAGCCTAGTGTGCTTCATGGCATTCACATACTTCTAGTCTTCTATCTTGATATTCATAGCGACCAGCTCTTGCACGTTGTTTCTCCTGGCTTGCCATGAATAACGTAGCAGCTCTTAGAAATTTGAGAACAAGTTATTTCCAGTTGCCATAAATAGCAAGTCCTCCTGTAGATAGACTTTCAGTTGTAGCATATTTCACTCTAGCCTGCATTCAATCTCCTGTGGTTTGATTTAGGAATCGGTTTGAAATGGACATTTAAGGCCTTCCCTACTTGTTTTAGCAGATTAACTCCAGATAACCTTCTAGTAATGCATTCTTATTGTACTATGATTGGTTTCACTGAAAAGGAGAAGGGCTCGCTCACACAGCTTGAGTGCCGGTGTATGTTGTGTAGTATAACCCATTGCATTTTTATTTTTGCCCTCCGTTACTGTCACAGTGACCCTTCATTTAACTTGTATGTACTGCAATGTGTTAAGACGTGGTGCATTTTGTAAAAGTGGAGCATGTCTGCATTTTTCCGCAACCAAATAACCGCATTATGGTGTAAACATTTGTTTTCTATGGGCCCTTGTGTTGATCTATGCAGATTAACGCAGCTCAGCAGATAGTGTGCTCGAGCACTATAGCTCCATATGCAAAAGAAGAGCCTCATATAAAAGTTACCAATGATGACTCTCCTTTTGCATCCTTCTGTCATTTTTATCATATCTGAATGGATATTCTTTACAATTTTGTTACATTCAGACAAATTCTAATGCTCTGTCCCAGTTTCATTCAAAACGATACTAACTTGGACATGTGACTGTTCTCTAGCCCGATGATGGGGGTTTCTTTTTTTCGGCTGTTGGGGGTTGTATTACAGGCACAGTCAGGTGACTTAATCCCAAAACAACAAACTCAGAGATCCAATTTCTGAATAATGAACCAAATCGTATTTTGGAGACAAAATAAATTAAAATCCGAATGAATCAGAAATAAAACATATTTTTTGCGGGGTTACATGAGCTGTGACCTGGGTGTAGATAGTGGGAAAGGCTTATTCCATATCAACTTTTGGGGGTATATGGGGATGGTTACTACTTAAAGCGTTTTCACGGGAACAATCCATCCACTTTTACACGGTTGTCAGATGTATTATCTGCCAACTTCTGTTGATGGCAACTGGTTGTATCCAACAGAAGCCTTTCTAATTGTCTTGCACAGTGAATATTTGCAGAATGTCAGGGCTTCGATAACAAACTGCTTATTTTTCTGTGAACTTTGCTACCCCAGGTTAAGATGTGCCAACTCTAGAGTTAAAACAGATGGCAAGTGCTACAGTAGCAGCAGGTGCAGTCTTATAACAGATTGTAGCCTGTGTCTTGCCTTCCAAAACCCAGACATTCAGTTCTGCAAGGAATACTTTGGCTGTGTGATTTATGGATTTAGGGGCATGACTTGCTTCATCTGCTGCAGATATTCTGTGCATATCGCCCAAGGTGAAAGCAGCTTTCGAGTGACTAAGGCTAAATCGCTGTTAAAATTCTTGCATGAGATTATTGTAGTCATGGTTGGCTAGTGGAGCTGTGGGGGGTGGTATTGGCGTCTTAACAGGTAAAGTGACGATCAAAGATTAGACCTGTTGCTTGCCAGCTGGATCCTTTGACAGAGATTGCATCTAGTTTTTTCTACACTACGCTTCTGAAATAGTTGAGCCGATTAAAAAAAAGACATCAGTTTTGCAGGATGCAGCGAATACACCTAGCAAGTGATTTTTGGTGCTGACACAGGTCAGCAGAGGTTTAATAATATTAAAATGCATCTGTTGTAACACGTTCTCCACGGGGCGGGGAGGAATTAATTTTGCAGAAAGAAGCTCAGTTCTTGGCAATCAAACTATACTTTGTATTAAAAGTAGGTGTTCTCCCAGTATGGCTGCCAAATGCACATTAAAATTAGAGGTGCATTGAAATGGAATTTTCAGACCGAAACTGAAAATTAAAAAATTTGATAAGTGGGGACAAAGTACACCATGTCCTCTGTTATTTACAAACAATTCGGTGATCAGCTTATTGATGTTCATTTGTGGCCAAATTCTGGTGGACTCAAGTCTGCTAGTTTTAGGCTGGGTTCACACCTAGGCGTATTGAATATGCGCGTTTTTACTGCGATTCGCGGTAAAAAAAAACGAGCGACAAACGCCCGTTTCCGAGGGCTACTTGGCTGTATCCCAATGGAAACGCGAGACCAAAACGCCCCAAAGAAGTACATGTACTTCTTTGGGCGTAGGCCGTTTTGTATCACGTTCGGACGGGCGGAAATACGGCAAGGTGTGAACCAGACCCATTGAATACAATGGGATTTAGATGTTTGAGCGTTTTGTAGAGCGTTCGTCAAGCGTTGAGCGCGCTACAAAACGTTCAGGTGTGAACCAGGCCTTAGGTAATTTATGATAGTGCAGAGACAACCCTGCAGAAACTTGAAGCTAATAAACTATCAGTGTAAAGTCCGTCCGTCCGTTTTTTTACTACGGGCGGACGGCAAGAGGTTACAAATATACTTTTCTGCCAATATTTTTGATCCTATGCATTTTTTTTTTTCTTTTTGCAGATTTCAGTTGACCAAAGAAATGGTGATGGAGAAGCCAAGTCCCCTGCTTGTCGGGCGGGAGTTTGTGAGGCAATATTATACCCTTCTAAATCAAGCACCAGACTTTCTGCATAGGTATGTCCTTTCTCAGAGTTATATAGGCTTCCTTAGCACTTTAGTATGGGAAATCACACCTTGACAGCTTACATTGAAAGTAATGTCCCCAGTGGAGAAACTTTTTTTTTTTGTATATACTTCTGTACTTCAAACTAAAGGGCATGTTTTATTTTCTTGCTACCGAGCAATTTTAACCACCTTGTGTCAGTCTGCCTTTTTCACCACCTTTTAAATTACCGTTTTTGTAATGTTTTGTTAGGTTCTATGGCAAGAGTTCTTCCTATGTTCATGGTGGCTTGGACAGCAATGGGAAACCAGCAGATGCTGTCTATGGGCAAGCTGTAAGTACTGTATACATTTGATGTGGTTTTGTTGGGGAAGAGGGCGGGGGATTCTCCCTCCTTTTTTGTATGAGTACTAAAGTGTTTATGTTCTACAGGACATCCATAAGAAAGTAATGTCCTTGAGTTTCAAGGACTGTCGGACAAAGATCCGCCATGTTGATGCCCATGCCACTCTTAATGATGGGGTCGTGGTACAAGTCATGGGAGAGCTCTCCAACAACCGGCAACCCATGCGGCGCTTTATGCAGACCTTTGTTTTGGCACCAGAGGTAAATCCATAACCTGCCTTAAAGCACAAGTTTAGCTTCAGTATGTGTGATATACTAAATGGTTTAAATTGGCCGTCTCCCTTCCTAATTTCCATTTGTCGGATTCCCAAGGTGGCATCCCGGTCTGATGATGAATCAATCTCTAGTGAAATACAGATGCTATTAGCTTTGTTCAAAACGGAGGTTCTGTTTTCAAAGTGGCTTGCTCCCTTCTAGTTACCAGTACGAGTGACCTTTTATGTAGCCTCATCGTTGCACTGGTGTTCTCAATTTTATTATTGCCCTCTAAAGGTCAAAGTCCTTTTTCTGAGGGCCTTTGACTTTCAGCGCAGCATTATGTTTCTGGATGCCCAACTGTTTAATCCCTATAGTTCCCAGCATGCTCTTTTGAATGGCTGTGAATCTGATCCTGTGAAAATGCTGGCTAGTGTGCTTCAATTCTAGCATTGCCCTCCATTTGAGTCCACAGATGTGACCACATGAAAAAAAAAAGGTTTTAAACCTCTCGCAGGTCAGTGAAAACATGAATTTCTAAAAGGGATCAATTAATACCTGTGCCAAGGTAAACTTGAGCAGAGTTCAGTGTTAGGAAAACTTTGGTAGTTTAATGAAACTCTTCCTGTTGTCTCATGTAATTTTGGTTGTTTTCACTTTCACATTTTGGCATATATATTTCTCCTCACTAGGGTTCTGTGGCAAACAAATTTTATGTCCACAATGACATATTCCGTTACCAAGATGAAGTTTTTGGTGACTCTGATACAGAACCTCCAGAAGGTATGTAGTTTTATGTCCTCTGTACGGCATTCAGATTTTTTTCTTTTCTGAATAAATTTGTAGTTGGAATAATGATTAACATGCCCTCTTGTTTCTGCCTTAGAATCAGATGAGGAAGTAGATGAACCTGAGGAAAGGCAGCAGACTCCTGAAGTAGTTGCCACAGATGATGGTGCATACTACGACCAATCTGGAAGGTAACTGTTCTCTCTCCTTTGCTTTAAAATGTATTGCATACACAATCTCCCCTGTAAGAAAAACCTTTCAAGTAGATTTCCACTTTTGTAGTCTTTTGTAGAAGAAAAAAAAAGCCCTCTATAGCAGGGGTAGCCAAACTGCGGCACTCCAACTGTGGGGAAACTACAAATACTATCATGCATCTGACTCGGTAGGCCATGCCTGTGGCTGTCAGAGACTTGCAATGCCTAATGGGACTTGTAGTTTCATCACAGTTGGAGGGCCGCAGTTTGGCTACGCCTGAGCCCATCACTAGTGGCTATTACTCCTGCATATAAAAACAAATGCAATTCAAAAGTGAGTTACAATGAAGCAGTTGTGCAAAGTAAAACTAAGGTATGCATTTTTCATCATAGGCAATAGATCCCACCTCATTATTGCCTGTATCCTCTGGACCCATTATCGCAATTGAAAATCACTTTAAAACAAAAACGGAGGTCTTATTTGAATATATTTGTAAGGTTGTTTGAATGTCTTCAATCTGAGGGTTTAATCTCACCTTTTAGGCCTTGTTCACACCAAGCGCGGAGCAGATCCGGACCAGAGCAGGTGCAGACCGGATCAAAACTGCGTCCAATGTATTCCTATGGTATTTTGACCTCCAGTTCACATCGCAGCGTGCGGATCCAGACCGGATGAAAAAAATGCGGCAAGCCCTATTTTACCTGCTCTGGATCTGGTCTGGAACGCATCTAAAACGCAAAAACACATCAAAAACGCATGCAAGTGTTTTTACCAAAACCGGCCCTAAACGCGTCTAAAACGCGGCACAACCCACTACACTGCGTGTGCAGAAACCTGACCGGATCTGGTCTGCATTTGGTGTGAACAAGGCCTAAGGCTACATGGGTGAAGATAAAACATTCAGGGGGGAATTTATCAAACCTGGAGCAGAAGAATCTGGAGCAGTTGCCTATGGCAACCAATCAGCTCCTCTTCAGTCTGTTCAGTTAAGATTTGAAAATGAAAAAGAGAAGCTGATTGGTTGCCATGCACTGCTGCTCCAGATTTTGTCTGCTCCAGTTCTGAGAAATTGCCCTCTCAGTGTGTGCCCAATATCTACTAGAGGTTTACAGATCTAATCCTAAATCTGATCACTACTATTGAACATGTGTAGGGTAAAATAGCCAGCTTTTGGATCAGTCAATTTGCAGTTTTGCAAATACTTGACCTCTAATTACATGGACCAGTTAAGAGCAGCTACGTGGCTATTAGTGATAGGCTCAGGCTTGAAAACTTTTCTTCCGAATCGTACGAAAATCAATGGTCTAGTGGCATTTTCGTACGAAAAAAAAACGCAACATGAACACTGCACATGCGCAAATGGAAATCTGTCAATTGACGAAATTCGGTCAGTATTGCTAACTAACGATAATCTAAAATATAGAGCTGCAGCTAACGATTATTTTCAAAATCGATTAGTTGTTGCAGCCCTACTAAAATATCATTGGTCTGTGCATGATGGGGTATTCGTGCGGAAATGGAACGACTGTTTGATGAGGGCACGAAATAAATGTGAGGTGTATGGCCAGCTTTAGAATCATGTTTTCAGTTTAAGGTTAGGCATACTTTCATTCCAGGGCCTCCAATGAATATCTGTTTTTTCTGTGGGGGGGTAGTCTCATCCACTAGCCGAGGGTGTGATATTTAATTTCTGACTCTAATTTATTTGAGTTGTCAGGGAACCTAGTTTTTGTCCCCTTTGCCTGATTCCTAAGGTTAGGGCTGTGGTCTTTCTTCGGTAGGCCAGCTGGTCTTAGACTTGTGTTCAAGTTATCTTAAGGGACATGTTTCTAGGTGCTTTCTGTTTGATTTACCACACTTGGTCTTGGTCTAGTTGCCTTTTTCAGGTTATATGTTCTACCTGTTTGGAATATTTGGGGAATGGCTCTCCCCTTGCTGATTTTGAGCTCATGAAGATCCTTCACCATTAGTGGTCAGTCCTTTTTGTTTTTTCAGCTATGTGCCTGACCTTTTCAAATCTCAATAGAAGCAACAAAATAATAAATATTGACTAACTTTTATTAGACCTGCGCTGGTGTTGAGCCATATCGTTTGTATGATCCTGTTGTGGGGTTTGTGGATTTGATTTTGCAATCAGATGCCATAAGCATGAACGACTTGTATAATTTTTTAACTTTTTATCCTATCAATATTTTTAGCAACAATGACTTGGATGAACCACTGGAAGAGCAGATAGTAGAACCAGAACCTGAACCAGAGCCAGAACCTGAGCAGGATCCCGAACCTGAGGTGGTGGAAGACAAGTGTGAACCTGTGTCGGAGGAACCATCCCCAGAAGAGGAAGAGGTTCTGGAGAAGAGCCCCTCCCCACTTCCTGCTGATCCTGCACCACCAGTTCAGGAGGACTCAAGGGTAAAAGGCCTTCCTAATAATGTAGCTTGCCCATATAGGTACTTTGCTTATTGAACAGCATTAACTGTTCGCTTTCTTAACTACCTTTTTAGACCTTTTCCTGGGCCTCTGTGACCAGCAAAAATCTTCCACCTAGTGGTGCTGTCCCAGTGTCTGGAATCCCACCCCACGTTGTCAAAGTTCAGCCATCACAGGTAAACTTGGGCATTTGTAACTTTGCATTCTTAAATAAGGCTCACTGGTTTTTTAATGGAAAGATCCCAAAATATTAGATCAGTGTTTTGGTACCTGTATAATCTTTTATTTATTCATGCTTATGGATATCCCCCCCTTGTGTGTAGTGACCGCTGCAGTGAGTAAATCGGAGGATGTGTGAATACTTCCTCATCAATCAAGTGTCCAAAAATCTTGATTAACTTTAACACTATATGGACTTTTTCTTTCTTTTAATTTTATTTCACTATTGAGTTTATGGAATTTGTCTTTTTGATACATTTTATTTCACCGATATATTGATTGTGTGTTATATAAAATTTAACGTCCATTTTAGTTGTCACTTTCCTCCGCTGATTAGTCGACGGTAGGGGTAAATATACACATGGGGGCAGGTAGCACAGGTTTTTTGGACACTTTTGAGTGTTTGGCTGGAAGTTGCTGCCTGGTATTGTGGCGCCTTGGAATATTGGCAAAGATTATGCCACTTCCATTATCACCACAGCAAAACCCTCCAACTATCTCTCCTGGACATTTATAGTTTGTATGACACTAGTACTTTTGTGTTCTGTTCAGGACTATTTGACCACATCACTTTTCCAACCTGGGTCTGCAGTGATCCCTCCTTGGTGACAACTTTTGAAATGGAAATCAACACAACAGTTTTTCTCTATGTGCCTCAACTTTCCACTTTACACCATCTCTTTTTTTTCATGAATATCGCAAAAGGAGTGGCCACAGCCAGCACTATGCTGGAAGCTGCTGTCAATGTAACGCAAAGATGCAAGAAGCCAGGGGGGATTTGGTCTGCCAGATTCCAGCTTTTATCTCTAACATTACTTTTGAGCGGGTGAACTTTTTACCATTTAACTGCCTTTGACATATGGTGTGCTCTGTGCCAATCAGAGCTAAAACTTGCTCAATGTGAGCTTGTTTGTTTTAAAACTAATCTGCCTGGATTCTGCTTTTAGAAGGGGATTTGGGGGGCTGTAAAGCAAACTTAAAAGGGTCTGGGCGCCCCACACATCAGAGGTGGTAGAATCATTTTAGGGCAGTCACTTAGGTTTTAACTCTGCCTATTTTACAGTTTTATGTATTGTAGCTTTTTGGCTATTTTGTGGCTAGATATGTTTGGTATTAAAGGAGAACTATGGGGGTCAGTGTTTTTCCCCATAGTTCTCCTTAGGGTAACGGGAGGACACAAACTAGCGTCCTCCCGTTACCCTAAGCTCAGTATACCGCGAGCAACAGCTCGCGGTATACTGAGACGCGGCAGCCGGAGCGGATCCCGACGTAGATAATGGGATCCGCCCAGCTGCGTGAGTGACAGCGGCTCTGCCTGTCTAGAGGCAGAGCCAGCTGTACCCGCCCCCTCCCCGTCCGTTCCGCCAGTCAGCGCTGGCAGATCGGAGAGGGGAATCCAGCCCCTCCCCCTGTCACGGCAGAGAGCCGTGACAGGATCGAGAGGTGAGGGAACCCGGTATGTGTTCGCTCACCTCCCGATCTACTGAGCTGACCTGTGACAGTCTCATTGTCACAGGTCGGCTAGAACTATGAGGTGAGTGAAAATCACTCGTCTCATAGTTCTCCTTTTTTAAAATGTAAATTTTTTTGCTGTTTTAAAATATTTTGCGTTATTGCTTCTGTGCAAAAATAGTTTTTTTTTTAATTTTGGTTCATAAAACTTTACACACACCATGTGACATATACAATCTTGGCTACCACTATTTTCTTTAGCTTTCATGGAGGATGACAGGAATTCAGAGACAGATTCTCAGATCTTTTATGCATCTCACACAGATATTCTGGAGCAAGGGATCATCGCCCGAATACCTGGGGTGGAACGGTTCCAGGGATTTTACTCCAATCTGTTAGTCTCTCAAACCAAAAGGGTCATCCACTCTGTCATTCAGGCCCAGAAATTCATCCTAGAATCCACCAGGTCTGTCGCGTTTTTTCCATCAAGTAGATTTGATGGCTTCTTTGGACATAAAGGACACATACTTTCATGACCCTATTTTTCCAGTGCATTAATGATTTCTTTGGTGTGGGTCTTCAACACTTCAGTTTGTGGCCCTGCCATTGGGCCTATCTTCTGCACCTCCAGTGTTCACCAAGGTTCAGGTTCCTGTACTAGCCTTGGTGTGCTCTCAGGACATCCCTATTTTGTAATACCTGGACGAGCTACTGAGGTGTTTGGACAACTTCAGTCTGACAGTGTAGTGCATAACAGTCCAGAAAGTTAGGCTGGTTCCTGAATCTTAAGTCTGCTGAAACTCTCGGTGCTTGTTGATATGCCTGGATCTAATCTGGTCTAAGTGACTTGTACAGAGTGCTACAATGATAGTGCATTGTGCGGCTGGTGCAAATGTACAACAGTGGAACCTTGCCAACAAATCAAATGCTCAAATGAGAGGCTTTTTGATAACAAAGATGGAATGTTTTGGAACGCTATATCAGCCCTTTGATCAGGAGCTCTTGTTTTAATACTCAATATACTGGTTAATTATGGGTCTAACCTTAGACACGGTTCAAGCAAGAGTTTTTCTTCCCTACGTGAAGCTTCAAGCTCTCTGCTCCCAGACAATGGACTCTCCTGTCCAGGAGGTGCCCAACTCTTTGCTTCAGCTTGAGAATTCTGGAACTGATTGTAGTTTGCATTAAAACAGTCCTACTCTCCCAATTCTGCTCAGACCCTACAACACAACATCCTCGTGGGAGGTTCAGTCTTTGGATAGACTGGCCTGATGGCTTAGCCTGGTTCACACCTGGGTGTTTTACAGCACATTCCTACGCTCTGTAAAACGCTCAACATGTGAAAACCAATGATTGCCTATGGGCATGGTTCCCACCTGGGCGTTTTTACAGCGCGTAGGAACGCGCTGCAAAACGCCCTATGCCCAAAGAAGTACAGGAGCTTCTTTGGGGCGTATTTGCCGCGCGTATCCATTGGGATACAGCCAGGTAGCCCTCGGAAACGCATGTTTGTCACCGCGAATTGCTGTAAAAACACGCAACAAACGCGCATATTCGATACGCCTAGGTGTGTACCCAGCCTTAAGAGTTCTGCTCTGAAGCTAGGTAGGTTGGTCATTGAGGGTGATCACGACAGATGCCAGCCTGGGCAGAAGTCCTGGGCATCTGATGGGGAACTTGGGATGTCGATGGACTCGCATCTCCTGATCATCATTCTGGAATTTTGGACGATTTGGTTGTCCCTGCAACACTGGACATGCTGACTGTTGGGTCACACGAACATGATTTGGCCTTTGAGTACCAGCAAGGGTCAGATCTTGGCACTTGTGATCTTGTTTGAAAGACCTCCTAATCCTCCCATTTTTTTTTAATTAAGACTTTTTAAACAAGTAAGGGAATTTATCAAAACTGGAGCAAACAAAATCTGGAGCAGCTGCACATGGCAACCAATCGACCACTTTCATTTTCAAACCTTAGCTGAACAAACTGGAGAGAAGCCGATTGGTTGCCATGTACAGCTGCTGCAGATTTTGTTTGCTCCAGTTTGATCAATTTCCCTCGTTTGTTTTAGGAATCTGATCCTGTCGCGGCACACTCTTTGATCTGTGAGTGCCTCTTGGATTTTTCGGCATCAAGCTACGGTTTTCCAGATTTGCAAAGCTGCCACCTGGTCTTCTGTTCAAACATTTGAGTTTTACCAGGTGGATGTTCAGGCCTCATCTGATGACAGCTTTGGCTGTAAGGTCCTTTAAGCTGCAGGCCATCCACAGTGGAATTTGCATTGCAACGCCTGCCTAGGAGAATACAGTACCTTTTAGTGCCACTTTATCGTTTGACCCATCCCTTTTAAGTTTGTTGTGGAAAAGTTTTTTAAAAAGCAGTTTCAACCACATATTGCATATACATGCTGTGCCCTGTTACTGCCATTCACACCAGTTTGATTCAGTTGAGACCCATGATGATCTACCGAACGCAATGCAGTTTTTAGGTATCTTCAGCTGGTTATGCACATTAAGGTTAATAAGCACTTTGAACTACACAGCTATTCAACCATTGAGACGTCTTATGCTAGATGGACAGGTGATAACCACACAGCAAAAATGTGTCAGTCATTTATGAACAGAACCTGAAAACTAGCTCAGTCATGAAGGGGTTAAAGCTATGCACTTCATTCAGCAAGGATATTTAATGTAGCATAGAACAGAAATGCTATAGATAATTACTTTTTGTTTATAGCCCAGACCTGAAGCCAAACCTGAAAACCAAACGCCAAGACCACCACAGAGAGATCCAAGAGTCAGAGAACAGAGGCCTATGACGTTGCCTCCCCGAGGAGGACCCAGACCAGGTAACATCTGGTGATGGAACACTTTCACTTGCTAAACCATTCTAAATAAGGCATTCATTTCTAATCTTGGTTCTCTTATGTGATTTATTCAGGCAGCGTGTACACAATCATTGCGTCCAGGGAGAGTAATTGATTCCTAACCGAATGCAATAATATCATTACATGCGGTGTGCAGGCGTTTATATGCAACTTCTGTCACCTGATCATTAACTTGGTGTAATAGGTGACAGCTTTTAAACGCCAGATTAGGGATTTCTGATGCAGGAATCCATAATTGCACCTAAAGATACAGGTGTGAATGTAGCCTAATACACTAAAGGTGCCCATACACTCTACAACCCTCGCAAGACTTTAGTCTTGCGAGGGTTGTAAAGTACTTTAAAAAAACGTACGATTTGCCCATCTTGGACAGGCAGATCGTACTTGCGACCATTGCAAGCCCGCCCCCCTTAGGGGCGGGCTTCCGATGACTGCAATGCTGAACGGGCAGTGTGCGCACACCGGCCCGTTCGGCAGTGATCTGTCGATCATGTTAAAAACCAGCCGAAAATCGTACGATTCTCGGCTGGTTTTCAAACATGTGACCGTACATTAGAAACAGTCGCACACCTTCCATACACTGTACAATCGCGGGATTTCCCGCGATTCTTGTACGAGAATCGTGCAGTGTATGGGCACCTTTATACTCTTTCTACCAGCCCCCCCCTTCACATAACAAAACCTAACCCTGCACATAAAATAAAACACCCCCCATACACATGAAAAAATACCCCCACACACATATAATAACCACTTCCCAGTCCCCCCAACATATGACAATATAATTCCCAGTCTTACCCCACCGCACATCCACCCACCCGTAAGTTAAATACACAGCCCCCTCTCCAGCTTACCTTGTTGCAGGGAGGAGGCTGTGAGCTGCGCCATGATCACCGATCGGTTTATCTAGTGGCGATTAATGTCTGCTGCAGACATTTCTAATCAATCCTGTCGGCCTGCGTTTAGCGAAGACGCCTGGCCGAAAGGATCCGAGTGCCGGCACAGAAGCAGCTATGCGCTCTGCATCCCACAGAGATGCAGACCATGTAGCTGCTCCCGCAAGTCTGGTACACGGTCCGTGACCGTGTACCAGACTTGTGAGCGGGCTGCGGGCTGGTACTTTGAGACCACTGATGTACGTTGTAGGTAAATTTGGCAGCTGTTTTAAAATAAACATGTTGCACAGACTGCTCTTGAGCCTATGTGGTTTTTCTTGCTCCTCTTGCATTTAAATTATATGTAAACCCTAATAATGAACTCTTATTTGCTCCCTTTTGGTCTGTCTTAACGTGCCATTGGAACCATTTTTGTTATTGGTTAAGTGCTAAAGGAAACCGTTAATCTGACCGAAATTCAGTGCTGTCCTGTGCCATGTATTTCTTGAAGAGCCCTCCTAGTTCTTGGACTACAGAATGTTTAGTCTGCATGCACTATTTATCGCAACACACAATATTGTGGTATTGCGCAAAAGTGCATGATGACCAGGAGTTGTTGGGGTGCCATTCAAATTGCCCAGTAATGCATGCTTTGTGCGAAAGCATGTGTTAATTGCACGTTATTGTGATTAATGCAACACTTTATTGTGAATGGCCCTTATAGGGCTATCCTAGTTATCTTGGACTACAGAATGCATAGTATTTTTATGTTGTAGTGATTTAAGAGTGGGAGTAGTTTAGCAAAAGCCAGTGGGTAGGGCTGACGACCTTTTCTTTAAATTCTTCTGTAATCCCTCACGTGACCTAGTGCTGTGTTGATCTGTGCCCCCCCTTGTGTACTTTAGCCACCGTCCCCTATCCCTGTAGAGCGATGCTCTCAACCCCGATGCTGGCGACGTACACTGTACGTCGTCAGTCACGAAGGGGTTAAATACTGCTCTCATGCTGGATGTTGCCGGCTGGTTATCTGGAGGAGCCTGAACCTGGGACTTGTGATTGATGCTAGTCTCCAGCGCATTCCTGCTGCCAGAGATGAGTGCTGTCATTCACAACTAAACAAGCTCCCAGCTAGTATCTGCTTTGAAAAGATGTATCACCTCCCAGGACAGAACCGAGTGGAGAGTAGATAATGAATGTGGCCACTGTGTCTGCACTAAGCCCTATAGAAGAAAACTAGTGTCCTACCTTCTTGGTATCTAAGCTTCTCCAGAAAGGCAAGTTTAACTCAATTCTTGTACAAATTGTCTCCTCGGCAGTGTGGTCGAACAGCGGTGGGAGGGTGGGGGTGGCACTGCGAACAATGCTAGCAAGGCAAGCTATTGCATAGATCACTCCATGCACTAGATCCCGTGGGAGATTCCATAAGGTTTTACAAATTGTAATAGTACTTTAAAAAAAAAAATTGAGTTGTGCTTCAGGCAGATAAATGGGTATTTTTCCGTACTTGCACATTTCCCAATGTTATAGACCTTTAAAGAATATGTATTGCTTATTTTGTTTTGACATACACTTTGTTTTGACATACACTTTAAGATTATAGAATATTACCTGAGTTTTTGGTGGTGGTTTACATTTTTTTTTTTGCCTAGTACGAGAGGGGGAACCAGGAGAGTTGGAGACGCGGCGCATCAACAGATACCCAGACAGCCATCAACTGTTTGTGGGCAATCTGCCACATGATGTGGACAAGACTGAGCTTAAAGACTTCTTTCAGAGTAAGTTTGTTTGGTTATTGTTACTTGGAAAATGTTCTGACTTGTTTGCTTTTACATTCCAGTTTATGGTAGACATTGGTGCTTTTAATACTTTTGGATTTTCAAGTTCTATGTATAATTGCAAAGGTGTACAAATTTTGTTGGTACCCTTCCAGGAAAAAAAGAACCTGCAATTTCCTCTGAAAAAAAAGTAATTGACTTCAATCTGTTCCAATTGTAAAAATCTGACTTCACTTTGGTTTTTGATTTAACAGAATATTTAAAATAAAACATGAGAATGGCATGGGCAAAATGGTGAAATCTATATTACTTTAGTGTTGGCTGCTTATTATTTTATTAGTAGTTGGAAAGCATCGGGTTTTACATATTTATATCCAGCAAAATGCTTGTTTACTGTGTTGGGGAAAAGCCAAAGTTACTGTACATATTTGTGCCAAAAGTATGTGAGCCTTTGCCACTACACTTTCAGGTATCTGTTGCTTCAACTTGGAGTTTAGTCCATTCCATTTTACAGAACCACTTTAACTCAGGGATGTTGGTGGGCTCCTCGCATGACTTGGCTGCTTTTGGTCCTTCCACAACATTTCTGTAGAATTTCTAGCAGGACTGATTTTCTTTCTGATTTTATTGGGGGACACAGGAATTCAGAAACATTTGTTATACCGCCACCTTCAGGAGGTTAGGACAGTAGCAAATAGGAAAGTTGTAAGCCAGCCCCCCTGTGTAACCCCTCTTCTACCCAGCATGCCGGTTCTTTGCTCGTGTCCTGAGAAGGTGGACACCCTTTCTTCCAACTCTGTAGGAGGGGACATCGATGTGAAATCTTTCCTCCTCCAACCACAAAACTCCTTGTGTTCATTTGGCAAAAAGTACAAGGCATTGTGTGAATGGGCAAAGTAGTGAGGAGGGGTGGGAAGGTGACTGGGAGCACTATACTGTTCGATTTGCATCCCTCACTCCCTGCAGCACGTGGAAGTCAAGAATCGTGTAGTGGCTGGCATGCTTTGCATCAGCCTTTCACGCACAACGAACATATTTTTAATTTACGCAGCCAGTGCAGTGTGTGAATTACTATTTTCCTGAAGTTTGGCTTTAATTTCAAGTAGAATCTAGAGCAGGGGCGCCCACTATTTTTCGTCTGGAGATCTACTTTTCAAATGACGAGCTCATTGAGATCTACCAACGAAAAAACACCTGCATTCAGGGGCGGGAGGGGGCGTAGGCTGCGCAGGCAGGCCCCTCGCCCACAGTGCGATCGCCTGCATTAGTGCCTGTGTTCCAGTCCAGTGCGATCCGCAAAAATGCTGCGAGCACTATTTTTGCAGATCGCACTGGACTGGAATGCAGGCACTAATGTGCCTGCGTTCCGAGTGCGGCCGATCGCAATGTGGGCGATGCCGTTGACTTCAATACAGCTTAACACCCCCTCCCGCACCTGAACGCAGTGAGTCGGCAGACTTACATTCCAGTGCGCCTTACATGTCCCGGCGTCCTGTCCTCCCGTGGTGCTCGTGTGGCCGACGTTGCACATGGAGTGTCCTGCACCTTTCCATCTGCAGCGTCTGACACATTCAGCCGCACGAGCACCGCGGGAGCGTAGCCAGCTCCTTTTGCGCCTGAGGCAAGAAAAAAAAACTTTTTTTTTTTTTTTACATTTCCGTAATTTTGTTTTTATTTTTTTACTCTTGGGGTGGCTTCGGGGAAATATTACAGGTCTAAAAAGCCCCGTGATATTTCCCTTTTAAATAGAAAAAGAAATTGAGGACACATAGTCAATCTTTTTTTCTGCAGCCTCTATTCTAAATGAATGGAAAGCACAGAGGCTTCCCATTCATTCAGAAAATATTTACTATCAAGCAGTTTCTGAATGGGGAGGAGCCTCTGTACAGAGTGCTTCTCCCCATTGAGAAACTCCTGAATGAACGGGACGTGATGTAAATCACATCCTGTTCATTCATTTATAACTGGGGACACATAGTACTATGTGTCCCCAGTTATTTACAAACACTGGAGTGATCAGATGATCGCTCCAGTGTTTGCCCTGCACAGAGGATTGGGGGGGTCGGAGCCGCTGTGACAGAACGGACGAGCAGTGAGGGGAGAGAGAGGCGCCGGCTGTCAGATCCTGGCCGAGCGTCTCTCTCCCTTCACCGCTCAGCATTAGTTCTGTGACAGCGGCTCCGTACTCCGCCCTCCCCCGCCGCCGGTTCCTTCACTTCTTCTCGGATCCCCGCTGGGGAGAGCAGCGGGGATCCAGAGAAGCGGCGGGAGGAGAGGACATGGCGATCTACCAGTGATTGCTAGGCGATCGACTGGTAGATCGCGATCGACCTTGTGGGCACCCCTGATCTAGAGTGCGTGTGTTTTTTTTTTTTTTTCTGTGTGGGGTTGAATTTGGATCCTGTTGTCTATTGGACCAAAAGAGAAATCTAAACAGGGATGAATACAAAACAAGAAAAATCTCCCTGAAGTTCTAACCCTTGCCACTCTTCAAATTGTGGAGGGGGTGCCAGAGCTACTTTAATTTTGCAGTGTGGGCATTATGCTATGGTTAAGACTACATTGTCGATCCACATAGAAAGCTGTAAAAATGGGTGCTCTCCAGGCTGATTAAATTTTTTCTTTTTTTTTCTTTTTATAGCTTACGGCACTGTCGTTGAGCTTCGTATAAACAGTGGTGGAAAGCTTCCGAACTTTGGTTTTGTTGTCTTTGATGATGCGGAGCCTGTTCAGAAAATCCTGAGCAGTCGGGTAAGGCATGGTTCTTGCACAGTTTGAACCCCAGACGTTTATTTTCTTGTCAGCAAAATTTTCTATCTTTCACTTGATGTAACACACAAATCTGCAGTGTCAGTTTCTAACAGTATATAGTTAGACTGGTGTCTTCCAAATCATGGAGTAATGGCATTCTTTTTCTCTTTAGCCCATTATGTTCCGTTCAGATGTGCGTTTGAACGTAGAAGAGAAGAAAACCCGTGCTGCTCGAGAGGGTGACCGTCGCGGTGACAGGCCCCGTGGCCCTGGAGGCCCACGTGGAGGTCTGGGAGGGGGTCTGAGAGGACCGCCACGTGGTGCAATGTCACAGAAGCCTGGTTTTGGGGCTGGAAGAGGCGTTCAAGGTCCACGCCAGTGATCTTTTTTTTGTTTTTTTTCGTGTGTGTTTTTGAGTGGCATCTAACATCAAAAGGCAAATCGCCCTCTTCTGTCCTGCAGCCTTCTGAAACTTGGGGTCTTGGATGTCTTAGCATATTGTCCCAACGTGATGGACTGCTACACTTCACCAATCCCATCCCAACCCTTTTGTTTGTGTTGCGATTTTACGGATTTTTTTTTTTTTCCTTCTCGATCCTCTTCCCAGAATCCAGCATTTGTTGGACAATGTCTTTTAGGGGGGAAAAGGATTTAAATCATGCAAAAAACAAACAAAAACCATGTTTTCAGCAGTCAAACGCAATGGAACATTTCCTGAATTTAGGCAAATCCAGAAGTATGATTGGGATTGCTGGTATAGGCTCTTTCTGACTTCTCGAATCTGTTTTGGCACTCTACTCAAAGCCCTATTTGGGGAAAAGGCTAGTTTTTGGCACAGTATTCTGGTCTTGGTAGTATGTATCCATTGAAGCTGTGAGTAGTGATGAAGACACAGGTGGCTTAGAGCAGCCACTTACAATCTCCATCTGTGCTGATTTTACTGCAAAAAATAAAATAAAAGGTGTTCATTGGAATTTCTGTACTAACACTTTTTTTATACGGCACCATCAAGGAATTGTGGAAACTACTGTTTTACCACTCAAATTTTGGATTTTGGGATAGGTTTTAAATGTCTAGCTACTTGACTTTAAAACTCATTGAATTTGTGAAAATATTTTTTTGATAGGGAATTTTTTTTCCTCATGGTTTTTAGTTCGTATTTGTAAAAAACAAAAACTTCAAAAAAGAAAGCAAAATCGTTGTGCCTTCTATTTATCTCTCATTCCAGTCTCGGCAAGTTATTAAAAATAAAATGCATAAAAAATTAATGTTTGTCTTGAAGGTAATGTCTAGTGCTACTTACTTAAAATGCTTTAAAGGACCATTTAGATTGGACATTGTTGCCATTAGAAACCAATGCTACGATCGTAACCTTCACCTCTTTATTTGGTGGAGGCTGCTCGTGGATAGAAAAATACTGGAACTTCACTGGTCTGTTTAAAAGTAATTCTGTTGTCACAAGACCAAGAATCTCCTGTGGTCAGTATTTCACATCTGGTCATGTAAAATCTGCATCTGACTATACAATCGTAGAAACATGTGGCTTACAGTCAACTAATTCTGAGTGAATGAAAACCGAATGGCTTCAGCGTGTTTGAAAATTCTTTAAAATGTATATGAAGCCAAAAAAGTTTCCAAAACCCTGTCAATTTTGTACTGCCACACTGGGGTCCATTAGAGAGATTTGCCCTTACTTCCTGTTCTGCTAAGATTTCACCAGACAGAAGGTTTGGAAAAATCCGCAACAGGGATATTTGTGTGTTGTTGTTAAAAAGGAAGTTTAACACTACATCTAGTACAACGTCAACGGGACAGGAAGCAACGATGAATCACTTCAATGAAGCCTTGGATAACCTTATATAGATGTTCTAACCCTTCCCCGCTGTATCTAACTCCATTTTGACTGGGCATACATCCTTTATTTCTGGTGTGTATTCTGGGCTTTTGTATTGCTTTTGGTAGCCAGTAAGTTTACAGAACCTGTCGCAAAGAAGACCTCTCCAATAGTCTAATGCTTTATACTTGGTTTGTATGTATGCTTGCAATCTCAAGGATTACTTGACTGTTTTAAACAAGTTTCCACATCTGAACAGAAAATGGCATGAAGTCTCCCTCACCCCCTCCCTCCCCTAATATGATGATTATAACAAAGGTGGATTGCATGAAAGAAAACTAAAGGCTTAAGTGTGTATTCTCACAAATTCAAGGACACGGAAATTCAGATATTGGGTTATACTGATTCCGACAGGAGGATTTGGACACAAACAAAAACATCTGTAGGCCAGCCCAGGATAACCCCTCTACTCAGCATGCCTCAGTCTTGGGGTTTTTCTTGCTTCCTAGAGAGGATTGATGTCTTAAGTATAACCAATGTTTGCTAGCCTTTTTATGTTTTTGGCTTCTTCGGTTGACTTTTTTTTTTTTTTTACATTTTCGTAATTTTGTTTTTATTTTTTTACTCTTGGGGTGGCTTCGGGGAAATATTACAGGTCTAAAAAGCCCCGTGATATTTCCCTTTTAAATAGAAAAAGAAATTGAGGACACATAGTCAATCTTTTTTTCTGCAGCCTCTATTCTAAATGAATGGAAAGCACAGAGGCTTCCCATTCATTCAGAAAATATTTACTATCAAGCAGTTTCTGAATGGGGAGGAGCCTCTGTACAGAGTGCTTCTCCCCATTGAGAAACTCCTGAATGAACGGGACGTGATGTAAATCACATCCTGTTCATTCATTTATAACTGGGGACACCTAGTACTATGTGTCCCCAGTTATTTACAAACACTGGAGTGATCAGATGATCGCTCCAGTGTTTGCCCTGCACAGAGGATTGGGGGGGTCGGAGCCGCTGTGACAGAACGGACGAGCAGTGAGGGGAGAGAGAGGCGCCGGCTGTCAGATCCTGGCCGAGCGTCTCTCTCCCTTCACCGCTCAGCATTAGTTCTGTGACAGCGGCTCCGTCCCCCGCCGCCGGTTCCTTCACTTCTTCTCGGATCCCCGCTGGGGAGAGCAGCGGGGATCCAGAGAAGCGGCGGGAGGAGAGGACATGGCGATCTACCAGTGATTGCTAGGCGATCGACTGGTAGATCGCGATCGACCTTGTGGGCACCCCTGATCTAGAGTGCGTGTGTTTTTTTTTTTTTTTCTGTGTGGGGTTGAATTTGGATCCTGTTGTCTATTGGACCAAAAGAGAAATCTAAACAGGGATGAATACAAAACAAGAAAAATCTCCCTGAAGTTCTAACCCTTGCCACTCTTCAAATTGTGGAGGGGGTGCCAGAGCTACTTTAATTTTGCAGTGTGGGCATTATGCTATGGTTAAGACTACATTGTCGATCCACATAGAAAGCTGTAAAAATGGGTGCTCTCCAGGCTGATTAAATTTTTTCTTTTTTTTTCTTTTTATAGCTTACGGCACTGTCGTTGAGCTTCGTATAAACAGTGGTGGAAAGCTTCCGAACTTTGGTTTTGTTGTCTTTGATGATGCGGAGCCTGTTCAGAAAATCCTGAGCAGTCGGGTAAGGCATGGTTCTTGCACAGTTTGAACCCCAGACGTTTATTTTCTTGTCAGCAAAATTTTCTATCTTTCACTTGATGTAACACACAAATCTGCAGTGTCAGTTTCTAACAGTATATAGTTAGACTGGTGTCTTCCAAATCATGGAGTAATGGCATTCTTTTTCTCTTTAGCCCATTATGTTCCGTTCAGATGTGCGTTTGAACGTAGAAGAGAAGAAAACCCGTGCTGCTCGAGAGGGTGACCGTCGCGGTGACAGGCCCCGTGGCCCTGGAGGCCCACGTGGAGGTCTGGGAGGGGGTCTGAGAGGACCGCCACGTGGTGCAATGTCACAGAAGCCTGGTTTTGGGGCTGGAAGAGGCGTTCAAGGTCCACGCCAGTGATCTTTTTTTTGTTTTTTTTCGTGTGTGTTTTTGAGTGGCATCTAACATCAAAAGGCAAATCGCCCTCTTCTGTCCTGCAGCCTTCTGAAACTTGGGGTCTTGGATGTCTTAGCATATTGTCCCAACGTGATGGACTGCTACACTTCACCAATCCCATCCCAACCCTTTTGTTTGTGTTGCGATTTTACGGATTTTTTTTTTTTTCCTTCTCGATCCTCTTCCCAGAATCCAGCATTTGTTGGACAATGTCTTTTAGGGGGGAAAAGGATTTAAATCATGCAAAAAACAAACAAAAACCATGTTTTCAGCAGTCAAACGCAATGGAACATTTCCTGAATTTAGGCAAATCCAGAAGTATGATTGGGATTGCTGGTATAGGCTCTTTCTGACTTCTCGAATCTGTTTTGGCACTCTACTCAAAGCCCTATTTGGGGAAAAGGCTAGTTTTTGGCACAGTATTCTGGTCTTGGTAGTATGTATCCATTGAAGCTGTGAGTAGTGATGAAGACACAGGTGGCTTAGAGCAGCCACTTACAATCTCCATCTGTGCTGATTTTACTGCAAAAAATAAAATAAAAGGTGTTCATTGGAATTTCTGTACTAACACTTTTTTTATACGGCACCATCAAGGAATTGTGGAAACTACTGTTTTACCACTCAAATTTTGGATTTTGGGATAGGTTTTAAATGTCTAGCTACTTGACTTTAAAACTCATTGAATTTGTGAAAATATTTTTTTGATAGGGAATTTTTTTTCCTCATGGTTTTTAGTTCGTATTTGTAAAAAACAAAAACTTCAAAAAAGAAAGCAAAATCGTTGTGCCTTCTATTTATCTCTCATTCCAGTCTCGGCAAGTTATTAAAAATAAAATGCATAAAAAATTAATGTTTGTCTTGAAGGTAATGTCTAGTGCTACTTACTTAAAATGCTTTAAAGGACCATTTAGATTGGACATTGTTGCCATTAGAAACCAATGCTACGATCGTAACCTTCACCTCTTTATTTGGTGGAGGCTGCTCGTGGATAGAAAAATACTGGAACTTCACTGGTCTGTTTAAAAGTAATTCTGTTGTCACAAGACCAAGAATCTCCTGTGGTCAGTATTTCACATCTGGTCATGTAAAATCTGCATCTGACTATACAATCGTAGAAACATGTGGCTTACAGTCAACTAATTCTGAGTGAATGAAAACCGAATGGCTTCAGCGTGTTTGAAAATTCTTTAAAATGTATATGAAGCCAAAAAAGTTTCCAAAACCCTGTCAATTTTGTACTGCCACACTGGGGTCCATTAGAGAGATTTGCCCTTACTTCCTGTTCTGCTAAGATTTCACCAGACAGAAGGTTTGGAAAAATCCGCAACAGGGATATTTGTGTGTTGTTGTTAAAAAGGAAGTTTAACACTACATCTAGTACAACGTCAACGGGACAGGAAGCAACGATGAATCACTTCAATGAAGCCTTGGATAACCTTATATAGATGTTCTAACCCTTCCCCGCTGTATCTAACTCCATTTTGACTGGGCATACATCCTTTATTTCTGGTGTGTATTCTGGGCTTTTGTATTGCTTTTGGTAGCCAGTAAGTTTACAGAACCTGTCGCAAAGAAGACCTCTCCAATAGTCTAATGCTTTATACTTGGTTTGTATGTATGCTTGCAATCTCAAGGATTACTTGACTGTTTTAAACAAGTTTCCACATCTGAACAGAAAATGGCATGAAGTCTCCCTCACCCCCTCCCTCCCCTAATATGATGATTATAACAAAGGTGGATTGCATGAAAGAAAACTAAAGGCTTAAGTGTGTATTCTCACAAATTCAAGGACACGGAAATTCAGATATTGGGTTATACTGATTCCGACAGGAGGATTTGGACACAAACAAAAACATCTGTAGGCCAGCCCAGGATAACCCCTCTACTCAGCATGCCTCAGTCTTGGGGTTTTTCTTGCTTCCTAGAGAGGATTGATGTCTTAAGTATAACCAATGTTTGCTAGCCTTTTTATGTTTTTGGCTTCTTCGGTTGACTTCGATCAAGAGTTCTCACTACATCACTGCTAGAGCTCATCTCTGCATGGCATCTCTACATAGATAGGTCTTTCCTCAGTATAACTTTGGGGGTGCTGTGCCCAGATCCCTCTGGACTGGACATGTGGGGTTAGCCTGGAGTGACTGGGGTCGGTCTGCTTGTGGTGCTCTACAGACTTCAATACTGGTAAGTTACCAGCCACAGAACACTTTGCACAGCCATGGCATTGCCTTGGCGCTTGCTTGGTCACTGAAGGCTCACACTGTTGATTGGGCTGTGTGCTGGGAGCCATCTAATTTGCACTGCTGGATGCTTTTTATAAATTCCCTCTACTCCCTGTTTTTACTGTGGAAAAGGGTTATATGTAGTGCTGACCCTTTCCACAGATCATCCTGTGGATTGTTGTACATCCATGCTCCACAATCTCAAGGGATGCTTACTGTGTTCCCTCAGTGGGCACTGACACCTGGAGTCCAGTGACCCTGTGGTTATAGTCTACCTAATCAGCCCCACTTGGCCCTACTCTGTTCCCTTTTGAGAGAGGGAATTTAAGAGGGTGATCTATATTCACTGTGTATCTGCCAGTGACCCACCTTTACAGCAAAACCACCCAACCTGTAGATGGTGTACTTGCTTGTTAAGGATTCTACTGACCAGTAGTTAGCATCCCACCTTAAAATCCAGTTTCTCTGGCAGGCCCAGGCCCTTCATGTGTTGGCGATGATCCAAATCTATGACAAGGGCAGAACTGAATTGGATTCCTCCAAAATGAGTTTTTTCCGCCGGCAGGGTAGAACTCTTCTTTGAGTGTGTGAAACAGATATCTGGAGCCTTGTGCTTCAGATGTGATGGCTTGTTAGAAGGTTCTAAATGTGTCCCGAAGGGGCTCAATACATTTGCACAGAGCTCTCTAAGGTGCCGATACAATGTAGGAGATCCAAGTAAGGGTTAACTAAGTCCCACTCCTCTCCCTCATTTACCTCAGTGGGTGCTCCCAGACCTGAATCCAACTCTTGGACAGCCCACAAGGCTAGAAGTTTGAAGACTGTAAAACCCTGTGCTAAATCTTTTGCATGAATATGTGCTGCCACTTTTCTTCTGGTTGTAAATCCTTGAGGTTTGCCCTTCAGGCATTTAGTACAGAGTTCCCCTTTTTAGGTTCAAAGAGCATTGACTCCTGTTTGGTCTAATGCATTTTACTGGCATTCCCGTTGTAGGGCACTGAAGGCCTATGAAGTGTAGGCATTGTGAATCCTAGTTGAGATTTCCCCAAAAGGCTTAAAGCCTGCAAGATCTGGCCAGATCTAGCTTTTATCAGGTTTCAGTGTTGGAAATTGTCACCTGTAGGAAATGGTAACCAACATAGTTTCTCACTGAAAAGGTCCACAACATGTCTACCTTTCTTAGACCCTTTCCAGCAAAGGAATTACCCCTCTCTCCTCACTTGAATAAAATAATTAATTTTGCGCCAATATGTGCGATCAGCTGCAGGCACTAAATATCGATCAAAAAGATGTCTTGCAAAATCTATAAATGTGCCCTGCTCAAATGCCTTCCATGTCATACACTGTGCAATATTATACATCCCAATTCCATATCAAATTCATAAATCGTACAAAATTTGTATGTGCAAAGAGAGCTCCTAATAGGTCACTGTTTTAGTCCATAAGTGTCCACAGCAATCCAGACAACTGTGACGCTTTCTTCCACACCACTCAAGTCATCTTCAGTGACCCTTTAGGAGAGATGCTCACCCTAATAGACCTCCAAACTGTTCTAATCATACGACTTAGGATTCACACCTTGGTGTTCTGATCCTTTTCCAGGCTCAAACATCCACATTCATGACCCTCATTGGTAAAGGCAAAAACTGTCTAGTGTAAAACTTTTATTATTAAATTCCCACTCCAGTGTAGTTGATAAAATAATCCCATCAACATAGAAAACGCCGCGGTCTCGGGTCTCCACTGTCAGTATGTGTTGAAATCTCAGATCAGATTAAAATCCGTGCCGCTCTAATCGCATAGCTCTGTCTGCGATCCGATCTGTGCCTGCAAGCTCCGTCTTACGTGTTGCGTCACTTCCTGATTTCATCAGAGGCTGTGAGTTGTCTGCGCCGATCGGGTCTTGATCTTGAGAGTCATTGTAACCAAGGAAACCCTAGACACACAACTAAACATTTACCTCCTTCCTTTCACATATTTGCGGCCATATTGGAAGTAAACACTACCATAATAAAAAGAACTAAGCTGTCAATTCTTTCGCCTCCATAAAAATAAAAAAAAACTTGACTAGTATGGTACTATTAATGGTATTATACTAAATAGATTTCGTATATACTGTATATTAAACAATCTATCAACCATAGTTTAGAGCTGGTCTTTGATGAATGCTATTCACATTTCTTTTATACACATCCCTGGTATAAATTTATGTTGAATACAATTTTAACCAGCTTTAAGAATTACTAATGAAACAACTGAGATCAAAGTCCATATTGAGACCTTTTTGGGTACCAATGTTTCTGCCCTGTAAATCCAGGTTTCTCTTTTAGCCAACTCTCTTCAGTTGCAACCCCTCCAGTGTCTATTCATTTTTTCTACTCCCCAAAACTAAAAGACTGGGATCCTTATGATGATGATCAAGAAAATGTTTCAAAACTAAGTTTTTAGTATCACAAGAAATAAAATCTCTTATCGCAAACCTCTCCACTGGTACTTATTACTTTTAAAACATTTCCTTCTCTTTTACGATAATAAAAGCAACCTACATGCAAAATGGCCTATTAAATCAAAAAATGTTGTGCTTTGGTTTTTTTCTCTAATTGGGGAATTTAGTACATTCCTTGCTATGTTTCTTAAAGGATATACTTTGTTTAGGGGGAGATTATCTTTTAATTTCCCCAGTGTTTTCTAATTTTTTTTTTTTCTTCAACACTTCAGTGCTGCACATTATACTCCAATACTAAGGCAAAATCAAAATTCTTATTGTTGCCTTCAATTCCTTGAATATTTCTATTACCCAGCACCTCATCTCTGTGTCCTGCTTACTCTATTTGCTTGTTTATCCAAAAATTCTTCTTCATACCCCTTTTTGGATAAAGCGTTTCTTCAGAATGAGAGATTGTTCCTTGAAATCTACATCTCTAGTTCAATTTCTTCTCATTTTGAGAAACTTCCCCCAAGGTAGACTTCGTAGCCAAATGGGTGATGACAGCTTGGTACTGGAATGTATCCATTCATGTCTGACCTTAAAATAAGACATGGTGCATAACTGGTGCTCCTCAACAAATACATCCAAATCTAGGAAGTGTATATTTGTCTGGTGTATATTATACCTCAAGACTATAATCTTATCGTTGTCATTAAGACTAATCAAGCATCTCCAAATCAAATTTATTTCCTTGCCACACCATTAATATATAATCAATAAACCTTGTATAACAGACCATCCAGGTTCGGATCCAGTACCTTTCCAGTCACTCATTTTAACATAAAGGTGTTGGCTACACTGGGGGCAACCTTTGCCCCATTGCTACAC